AATGCCATTTGAAAATCAGAACTAGTCGGCGGAGCAAAGGTAAGGCAAAAGGACGTTGACGGATATTCCTGCGCATGGACATTGCGCAAAACAAACCGAGTTCTCCTTAGCCGAAAGACCTGAAAAACAAATACACGTCTGAAATTTTGAAAACAGTTGAATAACGGGCAATTCGAAAAACATACCCATTGCAATCGGTTCTTGCTTCGACTTGGAATTGTCCAAAACGGAGAGAAGACTGCTCATTTTTTTGAATTTCACTGTCGCGGAGAAATTATTCGTGATGTTGGCATCCGTTGAGCGGCCACGGGCGATTTCATCGTAATTCAAAACCAGAGGTACAATAGATTGCGGTGGAACGTCCAATTCAAACATGTTCAGGGCAATGGAATACATGTCCGCGTTCACAGTGAATCGGAAAGTACCTTTCACGCCATGCTTAGATTGAGTATGTTGAACAACGATGTTCACTCCATGAGTATTTCCCTTGAGAAAGCTGAAAAGATTGCTGACTAACGGCGACGAAGGAAGGGAAAAAATTGCCTGTGATGAAAGAAATGTCAACATTGCATCTTCAATAGACCATCACTCAGAATAGAACCAACCGAGAACTCCATGGGAGCAGGAGTGGGCACGCCGTTCCACTCATTCAGAGGAATAACGTCAACTGGAATGTCGTGGATCATGTTGCGAACCATCCCAGTTTTCTTACATTCCTACGGAAACGCCTCGTTTTATTGTATTATTCATAGTTGAGACTTATCGATAAACTTAAAACAAACCAGTTCGAGATCGAGAGTTAGACACGCTCCGCCTTTGTTCGTAAGCTGCATCTTGATTGATCTCAACGTTGAAAACTGCGATCCACGAACAGTACTCAGGACTCGCTCGAAGGCAGCTGCAAGAGGTTAAATACTGCACTTAGCTGGTTAACAACTGAATTGGTACAGAGCAGGAGACTCACCAGTTTCCAAGGAAAGAAAAATTTCGGGATGATCTTCAGATAGACCGTCCAAATTATACAAAGAAAAGATCACGTGACGCTCAATAATTATGTGCAGTTCCGGCGATCCGTCGATTAAGCCCGCAGGGTGAGCCAAATACATTCGGTTAGCGGTTAGACGAAGCGTCACAGTCCGCCACAGCCTTGACACGAAATGAATGATACCTGAAATAAATAGGATCCTTCAATCCGTGAAGTCAGTCACGATTTTATTTCAGGCTCTTTTCTGGATACACAACATACGTCACAAATTTCAACTACCTCTGCGGCTGAACGCAAACGCCCAGCGTGCGAAGGACATTTCTTCATTCAAGTTCTGTATTTTAACGTTATTTCACCTGCACGAAAAAATTTGATCATAGTTGAGCTACGGTTGACCGTATTTAAAATAAAGACGAAAACAGCGAAAACACTGCAAAGCTGCTTAAAGACGAACATGACTGACGGACTCACCGGAGAAATTCTTGACGGCAACTTCATCTGTAATTCTGCACCTAAACCGCATTTTTTTCAGCGAACACTGCAGTACACCAGCTCACCACTAATTACCCGTCTCCGCGTTTATGGTTGAGGAAAACAAGAAAATCGTGGCGTGCTACCGTCTTCAGTCCTTGCTTCCTGGAATTGGGCGCGTCACGATACTGTACAGGGCGAGAAATCATGGATAGCTGGGTTAGACGTTACGCTGCGCTGATCGCTGTGGGCGAACTGATACAGACTTTTTTCTCCCAATAGATGTCGCTCAAAAGCTTCGAATATCGACTGTGCAAGTTAGTTGCACACCGCACCGCATATGGGATGTCGCATCTTTTCAGTGCTGGATTCAATTCAAAATGTGTTGTACAGCAATATTTAGAAGGAAATTCAATGCAATAAAAATATTGTTACAATAAATCCTTTTGGAACATTAACATAGCTTTACTTAAAAAAAAATTATGCAGCCACTCATGCAAGGACATGCTGTGGAATGTGTTCCAGTGACTTGAATGAACGATTTTGCTGCAAGGAATTATCTGTCATAAGATTCTTGTGTAATGTTATCTCCTCTCAAGACACTTTCTCCAACTAGGTACTGTATATAACAGAGGGGCCTTGTCCATACATACACTCAGATCAGAATTACTGTACCATATAAACCAGCATACCATTAGCCATGCCAGATAAATTCAAATACAGTACATGTATTTTGATCAAGTCAAAATTACATGCCAACACGTATGACGCACAAAACCATTTCTTTTCATTAGTGAAAATAATCCCGATACACCATAGAATCTTCAAGGTAACCTAAATGTTCAACAACTGAAATTGGTTTCTTTGACTAGCATGTATAGGAAGTAGCATACTATCCTGGCATAGTATCAAGAAAACTACAGGAAGTTGTTTACTTGACTGCAGATTCTATTGCTTGTACAGCTAATAAAGGTGGACTCTGCAAAAAAAATTCAAGGGACCAGAGACTTCTGGTAGAGAACCCTTAGAATATGGGGGAGAACCCCATTGGACAAAGAAGGCATTATTCAGTAAAAATTCCTGCAGAGAAAGTTCACCTGTACAGTACAGTATAATGTTTTCTGAGAACTACATTGCAGCAAATTTCAAAATGACATGAAATTTCAGCTGCTTTGAGGCAAAACTTTTTCTTGTTTATTCATGTAATTAGAACACAACAAAAAAATGAAATCAATTAGCAGCCAGAAAAAATTCATCAAGCTCAATAACTCATATATTCCAGATATCTTGCTGAACATTTTTTTCAAATGCCTTGTGAACACTTTCTGAACACTCCAGAAAATAGCTGCGCTCATGAATCTTACTCGAAGATCACCTGCCTTCAAAATGAGAACAGCAGGTTATCAGAAAAGTACTGAACTTCATCAAACAATAACTCACACGTCTCAAATGGAAAAATCCTTTGCATTGAACCAAAAAACCTCCAAAAGGTGAATTGTGTGCCACAATTACAAATAAAAATACTTTTTTTGTCATACGTATACGTTTTGCACAACCCAAAATGCAATACCAACATGAGCAAACAGAGATCCTTGCTTCCAATGTGTCCATTGATCACAGAATTGGTTCGGATTCGTTCCATTCCACTCTTGCATCTGGCCACTTCGTCCTGATGCACAATTCTAGCGGGGGAATCAAGTCACTGTGCGGCGACGTTTTGCGAATACTGTCGGATGAAACATCTAGAATAAAATTATAAAAATAATTCATCATAAAATACTTGCGGCAGCAGAAAAATCATTGGCAGTGAAAATAAAATCAAACCTCTTCAAGTCAAACCCCGTGGGAACCGCATCAAAATTTACACTTAGGAAGGTTTCGATATGGGGAAAAGACATTTTTGTTGGGAAAAAGAAAGAAGAACGACAGGAATTAGAAGCAGATTGAAACACAGGCATCATTTTATGAATGCCCTTTTAAAAAGGAATTTCCTCCATATGGCTTTGGCTTGGAGGTAAAGACAATGAACACAATGCATTTCTGATGAGGAAAAGATTTGTTCAACTCCACATGCTTCCAAATTACAGGGCCACATTTATCCAAGCGACCTTTTTCTCTCAAATTGGAGAGGGAAAATAGGGTTACCCATCACAGACAGGTATAATTTTTACGAAGGTTTCAGAAACTCAGGTGGGCATTATACTTGATTCTAATGTGAAATTTTGAACTTATTTCAATAGAAACAATTGAAAATTCAAATTTGGGCCTTCTTTTTTTTGTGGTTGAAAAAAAGGGTAAAAATCTTACTGGAGGATAGGATTCTACAAAAATTCTCAGATCATTGGTGCACATCTTACTTGATTAAACACTGTACTTGAGATATATGATGATTCAGAGAAAAGGCAAACCTTTGAATCTTCAAGTTAATACTTGGACTCATTTTTATTACCACGTTTTTATGAACTCACTTTCTTGTCTGTATGTTTATTTTGATGTCCATATAGGAAGGGCAGCATTGAGAATGAATAAGAATAAATACAATATAAGAACCCTTTAATAGCAAATTTAATTCAGACAATTTCTCATTGCATTTACTCAACTTTTATAATCAGATTAATGAAAAGAGAACCTTCAGTAAAGCCATAAGGTTCATAAAAATGAATAAATGAATATAAACAACTATCATGAAGAGGATGATGTGACAAATATGGATAAGTTTGTCAGGAAGACTTCAGAGAGTACTAAAAAGAAGTTTCTCTCTCACTACCCAAGTCCCTCACTCCGTCCCCCTGCAGCGTAAATTCGGCAGCTCACATGTGAGCTCCGGCGAGAAGTCCGTCCACCGCTAATACAGGTGGACTGAGCAATAAAATTCAAGAGACCAGAAATTTGTGGGAGAGAACCCTATTGGATAAAAGAAGGCATTACTCAGTAAAAAGTCCTGCGGACAAGATTGTTGCAGGGAAAGTTCACCTGTATAATGTTTTCTGAGTACTAAATTGCAGCGAATTTCAAAATGACATGAAATTTCACCTGCTTTGTGGCAAGACTTTTTCTTGTTTATTAATGGAATTGGAACACAACGAAGAAATGAAATCAATTAGCCAGAAAAAAAAATCATCAAGCTCCATAAATCATGTATTCCAGATATCCTGCTGAACATTTTTTTCAAATGCCTTGTGAACACTCCAGAATATAGCAGCGCTCATAAATCGTACTCGAAGATCCTTTCAAAATGAGAACAGCAAGTGATCAGAAAAGTACTGAACTTCATCAAACAATAACTCACACGTCTCAAATGGAAAAATCCTTTGCATTGAACCAATAAACCTCCAAAAGGTGAATTGTGTGCCACAATCACAAATAAAAATACTTTTTTGGTCATACGTATACCTTTCGCACAACCCAAAATGCAATACCAACATGAGCAAACAGAGATCCTTGCTTCCAATGTGTCCATTGATCACAGAATTGGTTCGGATTCGTTCCATTCCACTCTTGCATCTGGCCACTTTGTCCTGATGCACAATTCTAGCGGGGGAATCAAGTCACTGTGCGGCGACGTTTTGCGAATACTGTCGGATGAAACATCTTGAATAAAATGATAAAAATAATTCATCATAAAATACTTGCGGCAGCAGAAAAATCATTGGCAGTGAAAATAAAATCAAACCTCTTCAAGTCAAACCCCGTGGGAACCGCAACAAAATTTACACTTAGGAAGGTTTCGATATGGGGAAAAGACATTTTTGTTGGGAAAAAGAAAGAAGAATGACAGGAATTAGAAGCAGATTGAAACACAGGCATCATTTCATGAATGCCCTTTTAAAAAGGAATTTCCTCCATATGGCTTTGGCTTGGAGGTAGAGACAATGAACACAATGCATTTCTGATGAGGAAAAGATTTGTTCAACTCCACATGCTTCCAAATTACAGGGCCACATTAATCCAAGCGACCTTTTTCCCTCAAATTGGAGAGGGAAAATAGGGTTACCCATCACAGACAGGTATAATTTCTACGAAGGTTTCAGAAACTCAGGTGGGCATTATACTTGATTCTAATGTGAAATTTTGAACTTATTTCAATAGAAACAATTGAAAATTCAAATTTGGGCCTTCTTTTTTTGTGGAAACATCGTAATTCCATAGTTTGAAAAAAAGGGTAAAAATCTTACTGGAGGATAGGATTCTACAAAAATTCTCAGATCATTGGTGCACATCTTACTTGATTAAACACTGTACTTGAGATATATGATGATTCAGAGAAAAGGCGAACCTTTGAATCTTTAAGTTAATACTTGGACTCATTATTTATCCTGTCAACACGTTCAGAGCTGAGTGACTGAAATAATGTCTCACCAACGGTCAAGCGAATAAGATGATCTTGTCTTGCAAGACCATCATAGTAATATAGGTCAAATTTCTTGGGATTTGTCTCCCATTGCCAGTCAGTGGTTGAAAGTTCCTTGGATCCAGAAAATAGCACACTGTAATGGCTTTCACTGCAAACGACCCACACTGGGTACTTCGGGGACTTGTAATTACTTCCCACCTGTAACAATCCGATCTCAAGCATGAAATACTGTATAAGACTGCTCCAAATGATTAACTCACCTGGCAGGATTTGTAGTGCTCAAACAGAGACAGAAACCCTATATCAGACCTTGTGTGAACGCCTCTGAGCTTCATAACAGAAGATCCCTTGGGACCGACGTCATCTCCCAGCGTGATATCGTTGTCAAAGACATTGGACACAGCTTGCCCGACAAGAACCAGATTCACTAATTCTTGGGTGCTGTAACCATGGGAAGCTATCAGCGTATTGGTGGGACTATCCATGTCCTCTTTAATCCTGACAAATTTCAACAAAAATCAGTCATTCTGGAGTCTTAATAATTCCAATTGAAGTTGCTCACACTGGGATGCCTCTGGACAAGATTAGTGAGTAAACAAAAAGGATTAAAGCTTGAGAGTTTTCTGATCCAATCCAGGCACCGATGTGATCCATGAGAAAGCTGACAGTGTCTTGCCTGGACTTCATGGGAATGACTGCCAAAGACTCAGTGATGCCATCACTTTTGTACATTCCTACTGCTGAAAAATTCTTCCGTCCTGCTGGCCTGCCGGAAAAATTGGATCCTCAGTTCATATTCTGCACAATAGCGATTTATAATCTCACATAACAATACGTGGGTTTTTCCCAGGTCCGGAGGTTTTAGAGAAAATTTCAGCCATGGCGGCGATCAGAGCAGCTTTTCTCTCACTTGGACTGGGATCGAAGTTCGGAAAAGTTGCTCCTTTGTCACTCTTCGGGTATAAAGCTGAACCGAACAGCAGATTCCTGAGAGTCATTGCCTGAAGGGCTGCCAAAACTCCACAAGGACCTCCCTAAAAAAAATTGATTCATAACAGAGAAACCTTGAGGTCGGTTTTCCAAACTCACTCCATGTTGGATCAAGCCAAATTTCAGCCCCGTCAAATCAGAGAATAGAAATCCCTGCTTTGACCATTCAGGAGGAAAAGTCTTCAGGATGGACCCGAACAACAAGTTCCGAATGTCCATGGCAGAATTTAATTCCAAGGGAAATGCTTCCCTTCCGCCAAAAGTGTACCCTTGCCCCCCGTGACCTGGACGCAACCCAGCCACTACCTTTGGCACATGTACAAAGGAAGAGGAATAATCTGCGTCATCGAGGTCTTCGAACACCACTGGACTGGACTTTTTGCTCGAAAATTCAAGAGCCTGTGGCATGGCTCTCACAGGTCCGGCTGCCGAGGGTCTAAAAAAAAGAAAACTTTTCCAGACAATTCTAAATGAAATAAAATATCCCAGTGCTTACCTGTTTCTTTGAGAAACCTCATGAGGATACAGAAGAAACATTTTTTCATCCGCACTAGTAGCAGGTCTTCCTTTCTCAAGCTTTGACTTCACATTCATGATGTCTAGAAAGCTGACAGTGTCTTGCCTGGACTTCATGGGAATGACTGCCAAAGACTCAGTGATGCCATCACTTTTGTACATTCCTACTGCTGAAAAATTCTTCCGTCCTGCTGGCCTGCCGGAAAAATTGGATCCTCAGTTCATATTCTGCACAATAGCGATTTATAATCTCACATAACAATACGTGGGTTTTTCCCAGGTCCGGAGGTTTTAGAGAAAATTTCAGCCATGGCGGCGATCAGAGCAGCGTTTCTCTCACTTGGACTGGGATCAACGTTCGGAAAAGTTGCTCCTTTGTCACTCTTCGGGTATAAAGCTGAACCAAACAGTAGATTCCTGAGAGTCATTGCCTGAAGGGCTGCCAAAACTCCACAAGGACCTCCCTAAAAAAAATTGATACATAACAGAGAAACCTTGAGCTCGGTTTTTCAAACTCACTCCATGTTGGACCAAGCCAAATTTCAGCCCCGTCATATCAGAGAATAAAAATCCCTGCTTTGACCATTCAGGAGGAAACGTCTTCAGGATGGACCCGAACAACAAGTTCCGAATGTCCATGGCAGAATTTAATTCCAAGGGAAATGCTTCCCTTCCGCCAAAAGTGTACCCTTGCCCCCCATGACCTGGACGCAACCCAACCACTACCTTTGGCACATGCACGAAGGAAGAGGAATAATCTGTGTCATCGAGGTCTTCGAACACCACTGGACTGGACTTTTTGCTCGAAAATTCAAGAGCCTGTGGCATGGCTCTCACAGGTCCAGCTGCCGAGGGTCTAAAAAAAATATAACTCTTCCAGACAATTCTAAATTTTTATTTTATAGGGTCACGAATGGACAAAGAAACTCTTTGGAGTACTCCTATGTCTTCTTTGTAAAAAAGTAGGCGTGATCATCGTCCAGAAGGAAAGAGTTCGAAACTGAAGTGTAAGTACTACAGTTTGGGATTGAGATTACATTGAATGGCTCCTGCTTGTCTCTGCCTGTTAGATCGTCTTGCTTGAGCCAAGACTGTGATATCCTCCTCTTCAGGGTTTCTTGACGACTGAGGCACTTTCTGAGACAGCGGAAAAGTGTATCTAGAATGCACACAAACTGGTGAAAATTTAATAATTTCATCAAGAAATTCCTTGTACCGTACCTGAAATCTGGGACGCTCGGGAGGCCCCTGGACCTGTCAACACTGGGGAACTTGGCTAAATTCTTCAATGACCCAGCTCTGCCAGATGATTTTGGCATAGGCAGGCCTTCCAACCAGTCATCTGGCATAGCCAGAGAGATCAAGGAACTGGCTGACCCAGGCTTGCTCGAGGACGGCAACCAAGATTTTTGCCTTCCGAAATTTGCGGTACTCATTTACCTGAGAAAATTAGGCAATAGGTACATGCGGTTTCATCACTCTGAGCGTCAGCCATGAATTAATCGTGGCCATGTAACTGTTAAATACACCGAATAAAAATTTCAATTCCCTCTTCAAAGAACTGCAGTATAGAATCCAACTATTGCCCCTAAAAACAGCTCAAACTCACAGCACAATCTTACCTCTGAAACTCAGCTCCAAGCTTCCAAAGACAAGAGTTGAATCAGCGCCATATCCCCGATGACATATTTGGGCCTCAGACTGCTTTCAGAGAAGTAATCTCCGAAACTCTTCATGAATTTCGACATACATTAACTTTGTAGCTCCAAACTTCCAAAGACAAGAGTTGAATCAGCGCCATATCCCCGATGACATATTTGGGCCTCAGACTGCTTTCAGAGAAGTAATCTCCGAAACTCTTCATGAATTTCGACATACATTAACTTTGACTATAAAACAAACCATCACAACACCTGCATTGACTACAACACAAGCTGTTCCGGTGTGTACCCCTCAATTTTCAGGGCTGTTCTTTAGGCGCCACTGTCCCCTTCGGCGCGAGGCTCTCTCAGAGCCAATCCCTTTTAGAGCCAGCCGGTTCCCCCCACCCCTGCTATTGAGTGACTTCAATTCGTAGCATTTGCGGTGTAAAATCCTACGGTTGATTTCAATCCACCTGGGAAATGATGAGCTGTTTTCACAGTGCAATGTGATTTCCTCCTGTCCGCAGAAATATAAATATTTAATCCTTTTGAATGAACAGTACAATATGTACAACAGGCAAATTTTTCACCTGAAAGGTACTGCTGGAAGGTTTTTATACATTCCATATACAGTACCTAGACATATATCTTTAGCTGAATGAACAGGCTTGACCTTTGCATAACACAAAAAATACCGTATATCTGCACTGAGTCAGGCAAGATTATGATTCAATAATAACTGCAGGAACAGCATGTAAGGGATGGCATATTGTGATATGATGATCCAGGGGATTATGACATTGTCAAATTGATGAGATCCACCTTGAAGAAGCCCAGCATATTTAATTACACGTAATAATGCCATCCATTCCAGCACAGCATTTATTCAAGCATATAATGCGAATTCTAGTTCTTTTGCTCCATAGAATTATAGATGATGTCATTTTTGCGTGAGGTAACCCAGAAATAAATTGTTGCAATGATGTATATTCAAAATATCCTTTATTTCTTTCAGGAAGGTCAAGGATGTCCAGGAACCGTATGATTTGTGTGTAAAATTACTGTGGCCTTGCGTCAGTTAGAAGAGCTCCTCAGCTTGAAGCAGAAGGTTACCGTCAGGAAGTATATAACAAGTTTCAATAAAGGATTTATAAAACAAAAGGACTTTGAGGTTCTCCTAGTTTTACAAGACGTAATAACATAGGACACTCAGAGAGGACAAACCGCACATTCAATATTTTTTACTTATTATTGAAGGGTGAGACAGCAGCAGTCAAAATTCGACATCATATCATCAGAATAGCTATATATCATCCTCGATTACCTCAAGCCGTTTTCAAATTGTTTACGCTTTATTATTCTGAAATTTTATGTTTCCTTCTGGTCTGCTGACAATTTTGGAATTCACATGTCCTTTAGCTTTCAGAATTTCCACATCTTTGGCTTATGCGTCGATCAAAAGAAGAAACACCTCAAGTGAACCATCAGAGGAATCGATCACAAAAGCGCTACGACTTCACCCGAAATCTCGCGCATCAGCATCAGCATCAATAAACCCAGCAACTTCGTCAGTCCTGAAAATCTATGGCTGTGGATTAAAAAGAACGCGCAGTTTTCCACATCACGCTTTGCAGCATACGTGTGAATGATGCGAAATGCTTTTATGCGTGCAAATATACAGCCATCATAGTGTACATACTGTATTGTGCTTGATAATAAATAATATACCGTGATGACCAGCATATTACCGTCAATAGTCTGGAGCGTGGTTTCTGTCGCCAATGAACTGCTGGTGCTAGCAGTGACACCTAGGCGATCAGTGGAAGGCATAAGTGTACTGGTGCTTGATGAGATGTCACCCAAGATTGATTGAGTAACTGAAAGTACGGTACGGCACAGTTTTGACGAAAAGGAAAGTCCGAGACTACAGTACAGTGACTTATACTTGAACCTTTTGGATATGCTTAGCGAATAAATAAAAATTCTAACTAGTGTAGTCAAATTTTGCTAAAAGTTCTACGAGAGTGAGAGAAAGGGGGATTGGACAACGGACAATAATACTATATATATATTATTGTTATTCAAGAAACTTATGCTCCTTCTTGCTTAAAGTTCTGCAGAACTGAAACTTTTCTGAACATGGACTAACCTTCGATGTAAGTGGTAGATTGAACAGCAGTTGAAGATATTTGAGTGCTGCTTGATTTTGGCGGAACGGTACTTGTTGACATTGTTCCTGCTGTTGCTAATGATGAACTGATGCTGCTAATTGCTTCTGCTGTTGCTAATGATGAACTGATGCTGCTTATTGCCTCTGCTGTTGATGTGCTGCTAGTTGATGACGACGTTA